CAGAGATCCTGATGCCGACACAGGAGAGCTCCTCCATGTTCGGTTGGAGAGCGCTCTGCTCAACGCAGAGCACCTGCGTGCTCTTTCGGGGGTGCGTCTGCCAGGACAGGCCTGCGCTACTCCAGCTGCGGGTCCAAAGACGATGCTCGCTTCAGGACATCTCCAGTGCTAAAGTCAAGATCGTCTTCCGCAAGCTGCATGTGTGCAGCAGCTTGAATCAGAACCGAGGCCAAAGCATCAGCCAAGTCATCCATGGATTCCTTTGAATCCTGCTCCGCGGCTTTTGCGACCTTTTCACTTGCCCGAACCAGGCCTCGTGCTAACTGCGCGTGCGTTAGGTCATCCCACGACTCCCCCAACTTGATCCGATGTCCTGCCATCCTGTCACGGAGATCTGTGAAGGACCCACCACTGCTGGCTGGCACAAATAAGGATGTAGTTATGCCAATGCTCGTGCTACGGTCGATGTTCTGCAGAGGTAGCCACTCCACTTGAGCAGTTCCTTGAACGCCCCCCGCCGAATGAACGAGGGCCACCTCATGTTCTGGGTCGTAGGTACTCATAAGGACAAGCTTTAGAGCATTGGCCGAGACCTGATCATCTACCTGAGAAATCAACAGCGGAGTGTTGCATTCGAAAGGGAGGGACTGGAAGCCGGTGAGCTCGTAAGCATCTCCCACAACCAATCTTGGCAGCATATCCACACCCAGGGCGGCCAGTGAAGGTTCCACGAAGCTAACGCCGGGCAGTACTTCGACTCTCACACCCTCATCCGCACCTCTTTGTCGAATCAGTTTGGTAGTGGTTTCGCCCACACACGGATCGCCGGGCACCGCATAGACAACTTCACCATGCTCTTTTGCGAGCTCCAAGATCGTGTCCGAAATGTTGCTGTACAACCCCTCGAACGTATCAGCTTCCTCATAATACTGATCAAAGGTTGTGAGAGTCGCAGATGCCGGGAGTGACTCTAGGACTGGATGCTTCGCAAAGCGTGCGTACAAACGCTGACAGTTGCAAAGCTGGCTCCACACGCCTTGAGTCAAGTGCTCAGGGTCTCCAGGGCCGAGGCCTGCAATGATGACTCGTGGCGTTGCGTACGCTGCAGGCGGCACTGGCCGGGATAGTTCACAGGCAAGGCAGGCAAGGCATAGCACCGCCGTGCAGCACTTGTAGTGTCTGCGGGGATTCGGGTGGATGCAGGCATGCCCACGACATGCCTGGGCTTGGGCCATCTTGACTGCGTCAGATCCCAGCTCTGCGTGCAGCCCATGCCAGGCAACACACAGATTTAGCATGCTGCCAGCTCCCAAAGCGCCTTCAGCGTGGACTTTGACTTTGCAGGCCGAAGCCTGAGGTCCACGTCCAACCAAACTTCGGCCTCTCCGTGTGATCGTGCTTTGCGATCTCCGTACATGCAAAACTAAGCCAGTGACTGCGCGACTTAGCCGAAAGGAAAGGACGCCGCAGTTTGCTAGATCCTTCGCAGCGCCACTTCTCTAGACAGTCTCGAGTCTAGGGAGGAAGCTTGAGCGGAGAAGCCGCGCCTCTTGCAGCTGCTGATCCTGCTGTCCCAGATGTCCGGCAAGAACAGATAAAGCTTCACTGGCACAGTCAGGGCTCGTTTCAAGTATAGCGAACACTCCTGGTTTCAAGGAGACATTTATCGCCAGCACTTCTGCGCCTGTGAGCAAGGCTCTGATGCACCGTCGCCAACATTGGCCGAAATAGCTTTCAGCTCTTGGATACACGAGCGAACCAAAGGTGATATTGCATTCGGTGAGCTTGCTATCTAAGAGCAATTCTGCACAGCTGCCATAATCATGAAATTCCTGCTACTGCTAGGTGTCGCTGTGCTGGACAAGCTGGATCCGGAGCCACATCGACAAAGGCTTCAACCCACACAGTTTAGTGAGTTTAGTACAGAGACACAGAGTGGCGTGACGGGGTGGTGCGAGGATCCTCACGATGGGCCAGCTTGTACTGCAAAACAGTCTCCGCCAGGCCGGGCGTTAGCCTCGCGCGGGGAGGGGGAGGCGGGTGCAGATCCTGTAGGAGGATTCTTCTCGCGCGACCGAAAAGTCCTGCCTGGTAGTGCCTGATCCGAACACTGCTGCCTGTCAGTATGTCAGCGTCTTTTTTTGTCCCTGTGCCCAAAGGCGTGCAGCAAGTGGTGCCTGGTAAGCAAGGACCAGCTTCGCTAGCTGACGGCCGGAGAATCCGTCTGTCCGCTTGGCAACCTCAGAGCTACAAATCAGCGTGCTGGTCAATCGCTACGGGTGCACCCCACCCCCTTTCCCACAGGCCTCCCGCCACACTTTACTTTTCTGCACTTGCGCTTGCAGCTTCGGGCTGGCTTCACGCTAGCTGCAGGGCAGCTGGCGCATCTGTGAAACGAAGATGCTAAGCATGCCGTCTCGCTGCCGACTTCCCAACCCTCTTGGTGCATCCCTCCTGAAGCTGAAACAATGCATGCACCGATACCTTCCTACTAGGCACTTGCTTAACGCCGTCCGTCAATACAGGTTCAGGTAGTTCGCCACCAGAAGCAAGTCCTCAGCGGTGTCGTGCATGTTGCCGTCAGTCGGGTGCGCTGGCTCAAAAGCAAGTTACGTTGCCAACCACCTTTCCTGACACCAACGGGTCACGAAAAAGTGCTCCTGCACCACAGCAAAACCTAAAATGTGTCAACGACTGTTTTTTGATTCTCCTGACTCCTACCGGATTATGGTTGCGACACTGGCTGCTGCCGGAGGGCCAGCACGACGTCATCATCGATTGGGAATTCCGGTATTGGCACCTGCAGCCGGGAAGCAAAAGTCTACACCTCGAAGTAAATCAGGCCATATCAGCCGGCACCTTGGCATCTGTGTACTTGTACTTGAAATACAGATACTCGATGACCTAAGGGAGTGCACCCGAGCGTAGCTCAGGCCGAGAGCTTGAGGCCAGCCTTCTCGAGCAACTTGCCGGTGATCGTTGGCAAGTGGATCTCATTTGTTTGACCTTCTTTGAAGCCCTCCTGGTCCGCCCGTTCCGTTACTGCACAAATAACCAAAGCTGATACCACACGTGTCCTTTTCGACCATCTTCTTGAAAGTGTCGCACTCGTATGCGATCCGTCTGTCCTTTGGCCATGCTTTGAGGTATCTTAGTCTTCCGGGAAGCCAAATCAAGACATAAGCTAACTTGCATGCTCCCAAATCCCACATGCATTGTCCAGGAAGAACTCGTGGCCGTCCGCGCTGACCAGTCTCAGAAACCTTGTCTGCAGCATACTTCGATAACCATCGCAGCGCGATGTTATGTTGCAACTTAAGCTGGCAGGGCACGAAAAGGTCTCCACCGGATCCAGATGTGGATTGTCCATATCAATGCCCGCCTGAGAGGGAGATGCAATGATGCACTTCGACATTGAAGATGCGAGGCATGTGTCAAATCTAACTTCCCGAATTCTCGATCCAGGCGACCATCTTCCCCGCACCCTTTTTGGAAGAGGGGAGGCGTTCTTGAGCCCAAACTGCACCAGTGCGGCGCGGTGCGACTCCAAGGCCAAACCAGGACTGAGGAACTGAGAACAACGGAAGACCAAGCTATGTTAGTTTAAACATGATGGCATGGACAATCTAAAAGAGCCTAGCTTGGGGCTCTCGTTTGTCGGTAGGAGCCAGGCTTCGTCTAAGAAGCTCTCATCCAAGGCTGCATCTACCTGCAGAGAGTCCGCAAGAAAGGTCATATCACGAGGGCGCCAAATCTCAGATTAGGCAAGAATTACATCAGACCTCAATGACTTTGCCGCGCTTTGTGGGCGTGTGGATGTGCTCCTGGGTGGTGCAGGGTGCGCTGGCACTGACCCCTCTGCCAGTCGGATCAGGCTGCACCTCCATGAACATTGCCAGCATCCTCTTGCGCTCCTTTGGGGCTCAAGACCCAGGAAACGCAGAGACACTGTCGCTAGAACATGCCGGGCCCAACAAACTCTTGACCGTCTACCTCCAGGCTGGGCAAGGGAAACTCGAAGTTTTCATCCTCAGACCAGGCATGCACTGGTTCACTGCTGCCGTAGACAAGATTGCTGGGCCGCATGCGACACGATCGAGCACGGCTCTGTCAAGGATTTCTCGGATGTTGGTGGCCAGCACTACGACGAACCTGTCTTGCAGTGCAGGGTGCAGTGTCAGCCCCACCCATCAGCATTTCAGCGTTCGATAAAACGCCATGTTTCGAGCAATTGCATTGACTCACCAGCATCGTAGTGCACAGTTGCGACACAGCAACAAATTCTGATAGCCCCCAGAAGAAACGTGCCAGCCAGTCTTGTCACTTTCGGTGCCGGTGTGGTGCAAGAAGGCCGACAGCACGTTCCGAGCCTGCAGACCCCACGCCGCCGACGGAAGCTCGACTGGAATGCTTCCGCCACTAAGATATTGTCAGAGCAGACGAGAGCCTCTTCGCTCATCGAACCTGTGTCGGAGCCTCTGCCAGTACGAAGGAAGGCATCGGCCTCGCCCGAAGCTAGGCGAACGTGACTTTGCAGACAGTGCGCAGAGTTGCAGCAGGGCAAACGCTCCTCGTCGATGAACAGGATGAGTCCTCGCCTGCAGCGTAGAACTGTAGGATTTTTTACGCTGATGCAGATCTCGCGGACAGGGATCAGCGGGCAACTAAACTCTGCCCAGCTGAAAAGCCTTGCCTGGACGAGTTGGCCCAGGAAAAGAGCTTGTTCAGCTCGTGTACCTCTCTTGACCCCGACGTCAGTTGATGCAGCAGTGGGCAAGGCGGCTCCTTTTTCGATGAGATCGGCACCCTTTTAGGCATGTCTACCGCTTTGCTCTATTTTGCATTTCCAACCTTCGGCCTCGACTCTGCTGGGTTCGGGAATCCAGGTGCTTAGAGTCGGTTTCGGGCAGCATCTGACACTCGTCCCATCACGTCCCTGCAGCGGGCAGCGGGTAGCGGTCACCAGGTCCGACGAAGCGATCCGAAGAGCTTCCGAGTAGTTAGAAGCGGTGGTTGGCACCACGCGGCCTGAAGCCTGCGTGTGGAGGCTTTGGATCCCGGGCCCTGCGGGCCTCTGGCACTGGGCTCCGACTTCGGCTGCGTGATTCTTTTCGACTTGGGCCTGTCTCTGAAGGCTTGGCCTGCAGTCGCTTCAGAGCTGCTGCAGCTCTGTCAGCCTTGGATAGCTGTGACTTATCATTCTTCTTGCGCCCGAAGTCATCATATGCACAGTCATCCTCGCGTGGAGGCTGTCGGCGCTCGACTTCCTGTCGGTCATTGTAGCCTGCCGCAGTTGCAGGATGCAGGATTCGTTAGCTGCCACGTCGTGGCAATCGCACAATGCTTCGCTGACTAGACTGGATAGATGCACTGCATAGCGACAGTGAACAAACGGCAACTCCTTCTCTGATCCCCGACATGCCCGGAACCTAATTCGACTGCACCTCCACCGCGGCCACCCTCTGCTGTCCGTTGCTTCTTGCGCTCCTCGGCCTCCCGCTTGGTGCGCTCAGCAAATTCCTCCATCCTTGCATGGTGCCAGCTCAGGGATTGATTGCGATCAATACAGTCGTGGACTTTCTTAAATCTTTGTCCTTAGATGGCCTTAGTGACGCTTCAACTACTCAAACATGCAGTCCAGGGTCGGTTTGGCCTGCTTAGCCGCAATAGTAGCCCGGGACTGGCCGCCGATCGGGTCATGGATTGTGCCAGGCATTTTGGAGTCTTACTGCAACTCATTCGCGCCCTTCGCAGTGCTGCTTTTGTGATGAATCTGGCTTCTAACGATACATTGTCATCCGAATGTCAGGTGCGTCGTCTATAGCAAAAATAACAAACATGTTGTAGTCATTATCATTGCAGTTCATTAGGGACAGTCAGGGTTACAGCACACGGGCTGTGAACTTTCGGGATACATCATGTGTGGAGGCGTTCTTGAGCAATCGCGGCTTTGTCTTTAGGACGCGTGTCTGATGGAAGGGACGACCTAGGACCTAGGCTGCGCACGGCATCCTTTCCAAGCGGCCCGACGTCTCCGCCGGACATGATCGCATAGTCCAGGCCTCGGTCGGGGCAAAGCCGAAAGCCGGGTCGTTGTCTCCTCTTGAAGGGCTCCTGGCCGGACTGTCTGGCGAGGGTCCGGGCGAAGAGCGTCTTGCCTGTTCCCGGAGGCCCGTGCAGGAGGAGGTGCCTGAGACAAGGACGGTCGGTCGGTGACTGCTGGAAAGAGCAGGTCGGTGCCTGTATGGAGTCCCGTTCTTTTTCGCGTTCACGAGGGAGTTAGTTGTCCACTGCAGTCGCTCCGTCAGTTCGTCCTGCACGGCTGAAACGTCCTTGTGTCAGAGGAAACGGCCCCGATGGTGCCTCCAAAACGATCTTTTCCAGGAAGCCGCCCTCTTTCTTCGAGGAGATCAAGCTCTTGAGGCCATCGCGGCCTAGTTCCCGCGAGCCCGCGAGCACAGCGTTCGACTGTAGCTGAGCCCCAAAGGCCCTTGGGGGCTCTTGGGCTCCCGACCCCACGTCAGGCGCGAGGTCTCCCGGACCAAAGGGGGACGCATCAAACGCCTCCACTCCACTGTACTCTCGACCGCACTCGCGGTCCATGAACAAAGCTCCGTTTTGAAGGCGAAAATTGAGCTGCAGTCGAACGAGCTCAGAAAATCAATCGAAAACTGTGAAACGCAGAAACGGGCGGCAAACACGGCATGGGTTTGCCGGAAGATTGCTTGCAAAGGCTGAATTCTAAACATGTTCGACACTGTTTGTGTCAAAGCGGTAGTACGTTTCCGGAGAGGGTGGAGTCATTGCCCGTCACGCGCTCAAGCCACTGCTGAGCCACTTTCAATCGATGCATACCGGGAAGGCCTCAGACACTGTTTACGCGCAACAAGCTGTGCAGTCGGCTCCTGTGCAATGCGACTAGAGGGCCACATACAACGAGCTGAAAAACCAAGAGAAGAAGCCAAGCTGCGATACAAGTAAGCGAGTCGACGCAGGAGACTGGCAGGCCTGCACAGCAGAGAAAGACTGAATCTTCTGATTCACTTCAAGAGGTAGCTGTTCACACCTCCGGCTTCTTGTTGCTGTCGCAGCTTGGGCATCTTGTTCCACACATCTGGTGTTTGACTTTATCTCTTTTGATCAGGTTGGCAGCTTGGGAATTCTTTGTGCTGACCAGCTTTCTCACGTCTCTCCGTGGATACATGGTACAAGCTATGCAACGTGTTCTTGTAGAGATACTGTCCACATGCACTCACGACCGATGAACTTACAGTTAATGGCCTCGGGGCTGAGGATTTAGGATTTAGACAATTCGGTATCCTCGCACCCCTCTGCTCCGTCGCATTCTTCCTCCATCACACCTTCCCGAAACTTGCACTTCACTTCAGAGCATGATCTCTCTTACATCATCAGATTTGTGTAGTAACAGGCTGGTGGCATGTTGTGCTCAGTGCCGGATTAGCTGTTTCTGAGGCCGCACATGTCAGCAACATGAACAGCACGATCAGAGCCAGAGCAACGATGAGCTGGGGGCTAGATGTGCGTCACTGTAGTGCCAATGCTGCTAGTCTAAACCAAAGTACCTAGTAGCTGATTTTGCAAAAACCATACGTTGCATCGGAAGCATTGTGAAGCAGTTTGGGAAATGCCTGCCAGCGACAGCTGCCTTTGCCGTGGAAGCTTGCCCAACCTTAGAGAAGTTTCACGGGAATTTCTGCCATTGGGCCGTTACGAAGGTGTGTCCCTGCCAGAACCGGCTACCCCCTGAGCATTTGGCGGAGGATACTGTCGGCGCCACAGCACGTGCAATAGCCTCCCAACATCACAGCTGCGTCCCACTAAGTCTTCGTGACCAATATGCAGTGAGGGCGTTCGTGCCCATTGAACATTCTGAAAAAGGGTCCTGGCAAGCTATCATGAACTCTATGAGCCGGGTTCTCGGCTGGAGGCAGTGCCGGGGGAAGCAAATTGCCCAGCTGCGTCGGCTGAACGACGCCTGCGGCCTCCAGGTGTTGCACTTCACTCCCGGCTGTCCCTTGAGAGTACCGTACGGCCTCCGTGCTCCCGAGAGCAATGAACTCGCCCATGGCATTGGGCTTAAAGCGTCGCCACGTGGGGCGTGGCCTTCGTTGATTCTGTGTCATGCAATCTGCAGCTTGGACTGCCCATTACATGAAAGTCAATCAGCCTGTTGCCTACATCTTCTCGAAATCCGTAGCAAACAAAACACCGCCGCACCGTCCCCCCCCTTGTTCGCTTTCTTCCGCGGCTGACAACTGCCTTCTTTGTCAGGCCCCTCCCTCCCCTCGTCTCATTGCTGGACAGTTTTGGGCTTACAGTGCTCGGAGATGCGCCGCGTCACTAGGGGCCGTCTGGAGGCTCGAGAGCCTCTGGGGACGAGACACCCGACAGGCCGTCGTGGCGACTCTGCTCTGCCGAGCCGCTGTGCGACGAAACGCTTCCACTGTGTTGCGTTTCCGCAACTCTTTGAGCCCGGTTTTGGAGGATGATTTGGATGGCCGCGGAGGCTGCTCATGCCTTTTTGTCTTTAACACGTCGCGCCCAGCTTTGCGACGTGTAACGGGCGGAATGCCCTCAGCAGCTGCAGGCACTACAGCCTACACAATGCAAAGAAGCCTTTTTTGGCCAGCTCGAGCAGAGATCCCACCCTTCGGTCGAACAGTCACAGCACTGGTGAAAACCTCATGCACGCGCAACAAGCTCAGGAACTCACATCGCTAACATTTTCCTGAGGTTTTCAGGGTTTAAATCTTCGTAAACTTCAACGATGTCATCAAGGTACCATGGGTATCGTTCCTGCTTGCTGAAGGCACGGACTGAAGCAATGAATGCTTCTTCGCGCTCCTTGAGCGCCTTCTGAAGATCCGTCTTGCGGACTTTCTTGGCAGCCGTAAACTTCGGATCATACACTACAGACCATCGCTGCCCGTTTGCAAGGAAACTCAGTAGGCCTTTCCGAGCAGTAGCGGTGTCCTTTGTCAGCCCATCTGCAAGTTGAGCTTCTCCGTTGACCCACCTCAGGTGAGTTTGCAACTGCATCGCTTGTTGAACCGCCACTGTCAACTCGAAGCCTGCGCGACTCGATCTCAAACCATGCAATGCCGAGACATTTCGTGTGAAAGCATCAAAAATCCCCTTGCTGTCCGTCACCAGGATCCCGATGCTATTGTCACGGATGGTCTCGTGAAGCGTGTCCCTATGGAGTTCTATGCCGTGAACTTCAAGCCACATAGCACGAATAAGGAATACAGTGTCTTCACCCACCGTCAAAGCTTGCACTTCAGACCCGTTAGAGCCTAAACTCTCCCTTGGCGCCTTCGAACTTCTCCAAGAGATCATGGCGAGTGGCACCTCAGAACCGTCTTTGATCTCACTTGGCCCGAGACAAGCCATGAGACCCACAGTAGACGATTTGTTGGGCCGATTGCCTTGTGAAGCATCCGCCCACACGACGGTCGCGATATCCTGCCAGGGGCGGTCCCATGCAGGAAACGTGATCCTCTGTTTGGCAGTCTTACGAACTTCACGAACGAGTTTGTTCACTTCGACAATGGTTCTCACAGAGGCAAAGGGAATCTCAGACAGCTTCAAGGAGATGGCCGCCTGAAACTGCGGTCCAGTTTGAGAAGCCTTCCAGGAGAGAGTGCCAAGAGCCCCTCGGAGTTCAGAGATCTCGTGAGGAGTAGCTGGAGACTTCAACTGCCGAGCCCGCGTGGCATTCAAGGGAATTTCTTGGATCCAGTCTCGAACGTATTCTTCTTGATCCATGTGAATCCCTCTCTCGTCTTGCCACACGTGACACCCAGCAAAATCGAACCCCGGCCCCTTTGCAGAATCCCACTTCCCGAATCGGAAAGTATTCTGGAGATCCTTCTTGGCACGCTTGTAGATCTCACTCGACTCGAGGCCGGCGATCAAGAAATCGTCGACGTGCACTCCAGCTATGCCGACAAGGGAGCCATCGGCAGAGTACAGGGCAAAAATGCACCTGTCGCTTTTCAGCTGCTTCCAGCCGCTGCGGGTCAAAGCTTCGACAACTGCTTCGTGCCAACGGCGAGGCGCATGAACCAGCCCGTAGAAGGCTTTCGTAAGTTTCATGATCATCCCCGCATCTTTGGGATCAGCGCCAAACATGACAGCTAGCTCCACGGGCGCGAACACCAGCAGGTTCTCGGATTCCAAGCTCTTCATGGTCTGCAAGAACGCGCTCGTCACATCCCCGCTCTCTAAAGTGAAGTGGTGATTTGCCGCCGTAGCTAGAAGCACGTTCCTTCCAGTTCTCGAGAGAGTGGGCGCCGATGTCTCGACGCTTGTCAAGTTGTGCGCCTGGTACCCTAGCACCACAAGTCTCGCTTTGGCCTTGCCGCTCTGCTTACGGGTCAGTACCCATCTCATGGCCATGACATTCTTCATGTCGACGTCTTGCAGCTCTTGTGCTGAGAGGGCACGGATGGCTGCCTCGCGAACCACGTTGGTCACCTCAACGGCTTGGGCCTCGTCGTACTCGCGCTTCTCCTCTTCCGTGAGCGACCGCCAACTGACCTCGCGCGACTTCTCACTCATCTTCTGGGAAAGCCAGACCGCGGCTTTCTTCGGCCGCTTCCTGACACGCTTCAAGTCCTGTTCCGTCATCTCCATCTCGCACGCATAGGCCGAGTGATTCGGCAGGTCCTCGACGAAGCTGATGCCCTTCATCCCGTCGCCGTCTGGCAAGAGCTCCTCGTCGGAGGATTCCTCAGAAGTCGAGTAGGGTGCCGCACTTGCGTGCTCCTCCTCAAGAAACTCAGGTTGCTCAGGAAGCTGCTGTTCCGAACCACCACCCAAGAGAGGCGCGTTGCCGCTGCTCTCTCTCTGAGAAAACTCTGGTGGCACCGGAGTGTCAGGAACAGGAGGCTCATCTTCGCCAGTCTCAACGGCAGCTCCAGACTGGGAGGCTGGAACAGGAAGATCTTCGAGAGGATCATGCGCAGGAAGAGGAGGTGGTGAACTGGAGGAACTCGCCCCGGGACCCTGGAGGCGTGGCGCCTTTCTCGCTGACTCTTCCGGCCGCCGGGTTGGATCTTGATCGCGCGCAGGCAGGTACTTAGCGCAATGCTCCGGCAAGATCTCGAACTGAGTCTCGCCGCGCCAGCGGTCCATCATCGACCTCGCAGGCTTCGGGTCAGTCTTGTAGTTGTCCTCGATGACGTTCCCGCCGCCAGGAGACTGCAGCACAGTGCGTCTTCTTCCAGAGAGATGCTCTTCACGTACCGGGAGGTCCTTGATTCTCACCGGAGTAAACAAAGTCAGGCGTGGGACACGATGCTTCCGGACCAACATGCTGTCTCGGATTTCCCAAACATCTCTTTCGCCACGGCCTTGTTGAGCATCTTCCTGGTGAGGAGGCTCGGCTTGAACCTCTGCAGGACCCAGGTCTTCAAGGATGTCCTGTCCAGGGTTCTCCTGGGTAGCATCTAGAAAGTGCTTGCCGCGATATCCCCTCAAGAGAATGTCCAACCCAACCGCGGTGCGGTGAACCACGGCTCCCTGGGTCGACACGACCAAAGTCTCACGCTCAGTGCACTTCCTGACCTGGTTGGTCTTGGCCTTCACCATTGTGGAACCAGTTGCCAGCCACAAGGTGGTGCCCTCCTGCAGGAGAACACGAAGTGGTCCGGTCCAGGCTCCACGGCCAGCTTTGGCCCGGACTCTCCAGAGCATCACGAGAGATCCTGGATCATATTTGGCGGCAGGTCTCTGGACCGTATTGTTCAAACGAGACAATTTCTCGGCGGCGTCAGCTCGGGCAAAGGCAGTTTCAGCTTTGGCCCGTAACAGCAAAGTTCGAGAGAAAGCTCGCTTGGGGTCAAGCCCAACAGGAACCGCGTCTTCCCGTTGCCATCCTCTCGTCCACTGAAACGGCGAATAGCCGGTCGCGGAATGGATGTGAGAGTTGTGACCGTGGCACGCCAAGGACAGCAACTCCGAAACACCCAACCCGAGGTCCTCCTTGTCGATCTTGTCAGCGGCTCGTTTGATGATTTGTATCGTACGTTCTTCTATCCCCAGAAGCCAATGTGCCTCGGCAGGAGCCGTCAACAGCCCGATCCCGCTGCGACCCACAAAATCCAGCATCTCTCTACTGGTGAAGTATGGGGCCGCATCGGTGAAAAGCCACTTTGGCGCAGGATTATGTGCCATCCAACCTGCAACAATGGCCTTCTTGATCTCCGAGGTATCGGGCTCCCACGATTCATCACTCGGAAACTCCCTGAAGACGTAGGTCGAAGCAAACCGAGACGCTCTATCTACCATCAACAGGGCCTTACACTTGAAAGGTTTCCCGTCCTTCACAAACTCGTACTCGAACACGTCCGCCCCGAGGACCTCCCACAGACTGGCCGGCTCATCGGCACTCGCCACAGGCGCTCCAGGTGGACGCCGAGTTTCCGCGCAATCAGGGCAGGTCATTTCTGCCGCCATCTCAACAGCCCACTTTGGGCTGCCTCTGCGTTCCAGGAGCTTCGCCAAGTTGGAGAAGGAAGCATGCCCAGATGCACGGTGGATGCGCATCATAAGGTCGCGGACCATGGCCAGTCGCTTGCCGGATGGCTTGTCCAGAGGCATCGCAGTGCCCTCTCGGGACAGCGCGTAGGCCCTCTCCTCCCCGGTCGAGAGGCATCGAAGGTCCTCGCGGATGTCGTTATCATCGCCCTGCATCTCCCAGCGAACTCCATCTAGAGCAGCTTCCCGAAGGCGATGAGGTAGACGCACAGGGCCAGGATCATCAGGATGTTCTTTATGGCCCGGGCACCGGCAACGACGAAGAGAAGCCGCAACTTGGCGGCTCGTGGTGACAATCCGCCACCGCTTACCATGAGCACTACGGTCTTCATGATCAGCGCAGCCCTCGATGACAAAGTCATACAGCTTCTTCCCCGTCTCAGTGGCAGCAGCTGTGAGGTTCCGCAGGGCCGCACAATCACGACCATACGTTGCCGAGAGAGGCCATTCCCACACGAACTCCCGGCCGGCACGAAGCTGTTGGCATCCGGCCTCGGCCAGGGACTCAGCAACCTCCAGAGCCCGACGTTGGGCCCGTTGGCGATTTCTCCACTGTCCCGGGCTCTCCAAAGGATCACAGGGTTTGCTCGGGCGAGCTGCAGGAGCCAACCACACCATGAAGGGCTCCTTCTGAACAATCTCGCTCACAACTCTGATGGCCGTCTCCTTGCGATCAATGAGGTGCCCCGTCTTAGGACTCCTCAGCTCATAGGTGATCCCGGCTTCCTGGAAGACGTCACCAAAATGGCCGTCTCGGTAACCACCATTCACTTCAATGAATTCCGGATTTTCTATTGAATTCAGCAAACAAGTCGTAGTGCAGAGCAAGGGCAGGAAGTAAGTAGCCCCAGCCAAATGCATGCTTCGCCGAATGGCGCTCGTGAAACCTTTGCTCTTTGAGGGCAGGCCTTTGATGGCATCACTGTCACGATCCTCGGCACCCGAGTGGCTCTCCAAGCCCCCCTTGCCGATCATATGGGATGATTTCCCATGGCCTGCTCCAGAGCAACACCCTACACATTGCTTCGCCCGCCATCGCTGCGAGCGTCGCCCATCCAACTCATCTTGTCGAACTCCTCCTCCGGATCCTTGCCGTTGGCCACCATCTCCTCCTGGAGCCGCGTCTTGAGGAGAAGCAAGCGATCCTCCTGGTCGCGAATGGTCAACCAGGCCTCCTGGATCTCCTTGAAGTGATCGTCCTTGGGCTTCTCGCTCGACGTGGCCTCCGAGGGGATCGCCGGTGGAGGCTTGGCACCCGTCTTCGGACGGAGTGATGCCATCGCCGGGGCGACCATCGTGCCGCCCGTCTCCTTCTTCAAGCCCTGCCTCCGGCGACTGTCGCAAGTCGGAGGTGATGGTGAGGGCTCGCGCTCCTCCATCAACGTCTGCACCCGAACCTTCTCGCCCCGGGTCATCTTGCGGCCCTGCACCTCCATGATCTTGCCCTTCACGATGCTCTCGGTCAGGTCCTCCGCGGGCATCACCATGCGCAGCTCCTCGAGGGCCGTCTCGACATGTGCCGCCGGTGGTCCCGCCGTCCTCGAGTACCCGTGGCCGCCCTTCTTCTTGTCGTAAGACAGCCGCAGGCCGCACACCTCGCACACACGCCATGTCCCGAACTGGTTCTGGCGGATTCCGCTCGGATTGTGTCGACCCTTGCACGGCCAGCCCGACACTCGAGGATCGTCCGACGGAGCGGGAAGCTTGGAGCTCGACATGAAGCGGGGCAGAGGTGTCACGGTTCAAAGCAAGGCAGCCTAAGCGAAGTCGAAGGCTCCGAAGTCTCTGAACCAAAGACGGTCGGAGAACAGGATCACACGAACCGCTGGTGTTGCCAACCAAGATAGCCGATGAACTTCCACCCTGGTCAGAGGCACTCACCTGGTCGCCGGCTGCACTCGCACTAGCTGCCAGCACTGCCCCTTTGTTTTCACCCCGGCGGTCTTGGATCTTCTTGAGCTCTTTCACTGCCCCCGGGGTCGAAAGAAGGTCTATCAAGCTCGGGGCATCGGGTGGCAACACAACACCGTAGGTCTCTTCCGTTTTGCTACGCAAGGCTGTGATGTTCATGATGTCATTGTCTACCGGTACCAAGAGATGCCCCGACTGAGTCTGCAAAAGGTCGGTGCCCCACAAGGAATCGGCCGAGTCGAGAAACCACAACGACATGTGTTCATAAGATATTGTGGCTCTGCGATCACGAAAATAACGGCTGCCAATCAATGCGGGGGTTGACGAGGCATTCCTGGTCTGAGGTCGGTGATCACCATCTAGCACAAAGAAACTAACGGCCCCGAGCGAAGTGCCATGCAAAGTCACTTTCGAAGCCGCCCTCAGAGACATGCCGTCGCCAAAACGGAACACAGGCCTCTCAGAAGTGTCCACTGTGTACTTAAGTCTGGTCACCTGCAGCAAATCATGCAAGGTTTGGACCCCTATCGCCGACTCAGTGGCGCCAGTGTCAAGCACAAAACCAGGTGATCCCGAAGACATGGTGTGGTACAAAGTGTCAACCGACATCACAAACAAAGGGATCACTTCCTGCCTGGTGCTGTCACATGTGACCTCAGCGTTGTCATAAGGCTGGATCGCAACATCCAGGGGCCCGGTGGAGCTCTCAAAGGGCCTGATCGTGTCATCGAAGGGGGCAGCAGGGTCCTCATTGTTCGGAATCGGGTAGTCGGGAGGCGCGGCCACGACATCATTGGCATACTCAGCCTCCTCGCCCATGCCACAAAAGTAGATCTGGTGGTAGGGCTCGACCCAAAAAGAGCCAGATCCCTTGCTCGGCCCCTTTCCAGGCTTGCCCTTTGCGAAGCGGCCGGGGCAATCACGAAAGTAGTGTCCTGTCCGGCCGCACAGAAGGCAGCCCTTGCCCTTTGAGGATTTTCCGCCTCCTTTTCCGGATCCCTTCTTGCCCTTGTCCTTGCCCTTCATCGAAGGTGAGTGGCCCTTCGAGCCGGTCTTGCCGCCCAAAGGAAAGTATCCTCTGGCCGATCGCACCTTTTGAATCGCCGCCCGGGCCTCAGCTAAGGTCCGGTTCGCCTCCGCAGCAAGAATCGAGGCCTCCTTCTCCTGATTCACAAGGCTCTCCTCGTCCTCGGGAACCTCGCTCTGATCCGCCTCTGCCACGTAGCTCTCCTCCTGCCAAGCGGGGTCGTCGTCAGGCCAGGCATCCTCCCACTCAGGCTCGTCCCAGCCATCACCGCCGGAAGCCCAGTAGGACTCATATCCCGGCCAAGCGGCCCAATAAGCCGTCACATCGTCCTCGAAATAGTTGTAGGGCGAGTCCTCGTAGTCCTCCCAGTAGAGGCGCTGCTGCTTGGGCCGCCGGGAGCTTGGATCGGTATCATCAAATACGGCGCGCAGCGCCTGGCGGATTTTCTCGAAAGCCACCGAATTTCCAGTGAGCGTCAGGACTTGTTGTCTCTCAGAGTGAGAGATACCAGCAGCCTTCAGCAAGCGGAAGCCTCGCAGCTCGTTGTCGAAGAAATCAAGAGTCTTGGCCCCATCCCGCGGAACAGCCGGTGTAGGGGAAGTAGGGCTCTCAGCCGCCTTCTCGCCGTCATCGTCCTTCTCATCTTTCTTGGCAGAGCTAGGGGAAGCGCCCGGAGATGTCACGCCCTCAGGGCCAGGCTCAACAGGTGCCTTGATCAGCGAGGGCTTGTCCCGAGCCCGAGACCTCAAAAGGCTCTGTTGGAGCTCAAGAAAAAGTTCATCTTCACGCACCAACAGCTCAGGAATCGTCTCCTGATCGCGCCTTTTCAGCTGATGCCAACGCTCCAATTTCGAAAACGAATCCGGTATGGGAAGCGACTGGAGAGGCGAAGAGCGCAAGACTTCAAGGAGCTTGTCAAGGCCATTGGCAGTGTCGAAGTCTTCGGGGCTAAGGTGTTTCACGACAGACCTCGCCGGACCCGACAGCTTCGACCACACACGAGCGGCAGCTCCTCTCCTCTCGTTCTCTTTGAGGGTTTTCTCATACCAACGGCAAGCTACCTCGAAAGCAAGGTATGTAGAAGGATTTCCATCCCACGCTGGCACATCTGAGGTAAAAGTCGACATAGACAAACCGAAGGGTCGGCTGCAGCAAGAAGCCTATACAGAAGCAAACGGTCCTTCGCAGGGAAAAATTGAAGTCGCCCCAGATCTTTTCAAAGCGGCCGCACCAGGTGCTCCGCTGCCATGTAACGGGCGGAATGCCCTCAGCAGCTGCAGGCACTACAGCCTACACAATGCAAAGAAGCCTTTTTTGGCCAGCTCGAGCAGAGATCCCACCCTTCGGTCGAACAGTCACAGCACTGGTGAAAACCTCATGCACGCGCAACAAGCTCAGGAACTCACACGACGCGCCAGGACCAATACATTTAAGGGTATCAAAATACTTAGCCCTACAGCAATCTAGGATCTAGCTAAAGATGCTCCGAGTCTCAGGTCTGCACAGATGCGAGAGCTGGGCGAATATGTTCCACGCTGTTGTTTCGGCCTGCTGCATGGCCTGGGAAGCACCGGGTCTCGATTCTTGGGGACTTTCCCAGTTTGGGGATGTGAGTGCACGACAATCTGGCCAGTGGGTGGTGAGCCTCCTGATGCATCCCCGAGACCTAGGCATCAGCAACCGAAGGGCTCTAGGGAAACAGCAAGGCAAACAAACGGCCTTGAACAGCCAAGGCACAGAAGAGACCGGGAGCAATCCGCAGGTACGAATCAACCGCCTGCAGCCACCGTCTCCAAGTATCGAAACAAATAGGCTCGCACTAAGCTTCCGACTGCACGACCCTTGTCGATGGATTCCTGGCTACTCTAAATTCTGCAATTCTCTTGCAAACAGCAACAACATCAGCACGCCTCGTCCGCGGGAGAGGCGAGTTTCAGCCTGCTGGACTCATCTCTCAGCACGTGAACAGTCAGCGGTCGGATGCCGTCCCGCCTCTCTTCCGCGGCTGAGGCCAAAGCCCCGGTGACGATGACCTGAAAGACATGAGGCCCTAGGCTTCTCCGCAGATGCTCCGGCGCCGGAGTCTGTGCTTCCAGCCAGGCTGCAGGAATGCAGCTCGGACCTCCGAGAAGAGGACGCTGGGGCATCACATCTTCGATGATCTCTCTGCCGTCCAAAAGGGGCCTCTCTGCGCCTGACGGAGACCATGCCACTCCCTCCGCCTCGGCTCCACCAATTTCACAGCCACGCACAGCAGCACCCGTGCAGGGCAGGTAATAAAACATTGATCCCAGCAGCATCGAGAGACACCACGCGGCCTCCACAAAGCAAGGAACACATTGTCAATGCATGCCAAAAAAACCGAGACTGGGACCGGTCTTTCGCAGGATGCCCAGCTTGTCCAAGACTTCTGCACTCTTCTTCTGGTTTGCTTCTTCGCAGCCTGTTTGGTGATGGTGCTCTGGTGTTGGATTTTGCCGAATTCCCCTCATTTATTTGAAGGGGCTCACAGTGGTGTCCTGTCCATTTGGGGGCTGCCGGCACCAGAACAAAGTTAGTTAGTTAGTTGCCGAATTGAAGCCTCGCCTGGAAGAAACCGGGAGCCGAAGAGGGCTATGTGCCCAGCTGAAGCAGCCTCGGGCAGGACCTGCTGCCAGGCACGGCCTTTATACTCAGCTTCGTGTGACTCTGCTCTAGAAAGTCCACTTGCTGCCGCATGTCAAGCTCGAAAGTGCTGGAGATGCCACGTGCCTCTGCTAGACCAGCAGCAAGCTCAACACCGACGTAGCCTGCTCCTGCCATGTTGACCAGGAGTCAAGGGGTTACTTGCGCCACACCAAGAGACTGTGCTGTGGGCCTACGATGGCGACAGATTCCACAGAGTCTTGAAGGCGTTGGCGCAGGGCTTCGGCCTCCGGCACTCAGGAGCCGTCGCCGAAGTGTTCGTTTCGGCTCTTGGCGGCCCCGGCATCTGCAAGGGAACAGAACCGCAAGGCCTGGCAGACGGGGAGCTCACCGCTACCAACACCCACGAGACTCGGTGGGCCTTGCCGCTTTCCAAGGCTTCCGCAAGCCCGGGCAACGAGACGGGTTCGGGCTGACCTTGCACGTATCAGAAGTCTCCGTGCTGCTCTGTCTGAAGACAGATCCTTGCTGAATCGTGACGTTTTGGGTGATAGTGCCCATCGGCCCACGTTTCGAACATGCTGGGCACACCAGGTGAGATGCAAGCCTTCCTTCTGCCTTCGTCTTGAGAAAGGCACGCGGCGATCATTAATTTAGATCTCAGTTTCCCATGCAGCTTGCAGCAGTTTAGGGGCTGAGGACAGCACCCACCTGGCCAGATGCAATGACAAGCGCATCAAAGGAAAGACTCTGCGGTTCCTGGGCGGCTCTGCTGGTCCCATGTACTCCTTTTTCCGCTTCGTGAAACGACGCCTTGGACTCGGACATCTTGGGCGTCTTGGGCTTGGGCCAGGGAGAAGGAAACCTCTGCAGGTGTTTTGGTGCACTTTCCCATTCCTGGAGCTGCGGCGCTGCGGGGGGCTCTTGTTTGTTGGCCTGCCGCCGGCGCCAGTCCACCTCCGAGGCCTGGCAACCGGATCAAAGAAACCGGATCTCTTTCTCAGAGACGACTGCAACATCAGGAGCAGGCGCTGCCCTGAAGATGCTGGACCGACGATGCATCCTGCGTCTTCTTCCGTCCATTTTCTCCAACAATGTAGCTGTGGGGGCACCCGGGTCCTGCAGCAGCTCCTTGTATGTTGGGGCCTCGATCTTGCAAACATGACAACTCGCAGCAGACCACCGGGGCAAAGACTCCGGCATTGAGCGCCCATGTAAGTCTAGCACGAACTCTTCCAGCTCCACCACCCCCGTTGCATAATCGATCAGCAGCGGCCTTTGGCGGACATACCAGCCACCGTGCAGGCTCTGAGGTCTGAATAGGTGCCCCGAGGAGGATGCAGAAAGACATATCGTTCTTTGGGATCGAGAAGCTTTACCTGGCGCGCAAGCTCCCAAAACCAGGGCCTCAACAACCGTCATGAGGCGTACGCGGCGTGTGCCTCTGGTCTAGACTTCCAGGGCATCTGGTCCAAGCGCAAGGCCAAATTCAAGCCTGCAGTGGAATGAATGGGTTTGTGGGCATGACGGACGTCCCGGTGGCAGGCTTCGCTTTGGCGGGGACCGCTCACTGGCGCAGACGTCCCCTCAAATTTGAAGAACTTCGCATTTTAGGTGGCTTTCCCGATGAAGCCTTCCGTACAGAGATGGAAGTTGTGCCGCAGAAAGTAGCCCTGAGGATTCTACGATATCGTAGATTTGAGACTCCTCGGCAGCTGGACTCCTCGTAGGTGCTGCCCCTCGAACCAAAAGCCAAGACTGTTCTCACGTTCTTCCATGGGATTCATGGGACTCATACCCGTGCAGCCGACGCGAAGCCGACCCTCACACTGTTTCCTTGGATGAAGTTTCTGGTGTGTTCACTTCAGGGCCCCACCCAGTGTGTGTCAAGAAGGGAAGGGAGCTGAACACCAGTGCCCGGAACTTCCCGGAGTCCGCTTGGCCTGCCAATCCGCCACCAACAACTACGATCTGTTTGCCTCAAAGCACAATGCCTCTGCCATCTGTGCCACGGATGGGAAGGTGCAAGCATGAGGACACGACGACTGGCCGCTCTCTTCGAGTTCGGCTGCCGACCTCGGGCCTGAATATCGCGACCAGGCAAGGAAAAGGACATCGAACAACGCCGAGATGCGAACCCTTGAACATAGCGCAGCGGCACCTGACTCCCACGACGGGAAAGCACGCATGCGAATCAACTCTCGGATCAGCTCTGCCTGCAAAGGCAGCGGCTCCGCCGGCTAGGTTCCTCACACTGAGCGCTGAGCAATGCTGAGCATGCTGGCTTGCCGGAGCTCCGAAGCATTCCATCACGGGCCTCCCGGCCCCGCGTGGCCTTCCTGAGACATCCCCAGCCTTGGGCATCAGATCTCAGAGCTGGCGAAGCCGAAGCGAAAGTGCCAAGAGCCGCACCTTGTAATGCAGAACCCCTTCTGGCGTCTTACTTTGGACCTCATGATGGGCTGGACGATGGAAGGCGGCAGCTGTGTTGTGGTCGACATGATACCATTCCCGGTGAGCTGACCTTCAATTGCAGGTGCTTCAATATCTCAAAGACCCGAGCGCGAAGAGGGGCGCTGAGAATCGAAGCGCCGGGAGCAGTAAAGCATGCCATGGCGCTTGTGTTGATCGTGCTTTCCAGAAGGGAAGCAACTGCGGTGTGAGTGCGCCCTCGGGTCTCTGTTAACGGTCGGTGGTGCCGGACTGTTTGGCACCTTGCCTCGACCACATACGATCCTGCTGAGCTTTGAGCCAGCTGACTGAATCCTGTGCCATCGTTTTCATCTTCTGTGAGACACGACTGCTACACAAGGCGAAATGAGGCAAAGTCACGAGAGGAGCAGCAGGCCTTTCGATCAGGTTGCCGGCAACGCCTGTCGCGGCACGGGCACCGTACCTGAAGTGCTGATTACGACCGTCGCGGGCAGGGACGAAGAATCGAAGGACACAAAAAGCTGCGGGCAGAGTCTTGGGCTCCAGCACGCCTAGGGCCAAGGCAGTGAGGCCACCAACGAGGACCGTCATCTTGGATCTGTCCTACTGGCTCTCTGTCATTCAGCGGCAGCACCATGTGATATGTAACGAAGGCAAGACACAAGCACAGCTGCCCTCCGCTCCTCGAGAAGCGACCTTGTCCCCGCTCCTAGACCGGCAAACACCGCCTGCGCGGGGAGAGGGAGAGAACACATCAGAAACAACGGTAGCAATGTAGCAACTAGCCGCCGCAATATTAATCACCGAGAATACTGATGAGAAGAAGAGTATTCGAAATGGACGGACATGCACCACGGGCATCACTGCTGGTTCAGCGAGGCCTGGATCTGTTCTAACCGCGTCTTCCTTTCTTCTGCCATGCGAGCCCGCATTTCTCGGAGCCGGACCTGGCACGGCACTTTTTGTAATGATGATCTTGCTAGGAAGAAAGCCGCCAGGTCGGCCTCTACATTTTCTCGCTCCTGCTCAATCCTGCAGCAACATGTTACGAGTACAGGCAAGTGCATCAGGCATCCATGAACAACAGCTGCACAAACAAGGCAACGCGCTTTGCAGCCAGCGAGCTAGGTAGCAGCTAGGCAAAGCCTTGCCCGGCTTTCTACCTGCTCCACCCCCTAACTCAGCACGATCTATGAGAAGACCCTATCCCTACAAAGAAGCTCCCGACAGCCCTACCTCGACGATTCCATCATACAAATGTACAGTATCGCATAAATTGAGAAACTATGCTAATCTGAGTTGATATTATGTTTTACCACGACATGAGGTTTGTGTGCAAGCATTCATCCGTGCTTTTTATCAATCCAGCATACTCTGTTTCGATTGTACCAGAGTTGCTCAGATGGAAGCAGGCTGAGGGGCCAGGTCAGCCAGGAACACTATCCGATCGCAGCTCAGATGTGCAGAGAGTTGATGACTCTGCTGTCTGTCTCTTCCGCCTCCCAGGAGAACCTCGGCTTGGCAAACAGCGAAGCAAGCTCCTGGCATCCTCGTCCCACCCGGACTCAGGGATGTACTCTCTGGAGATGGAGACGCTGACATCCACATTGTACGTCAAGTGCCCCCAGTCTGTGGGCACCTTGAAGAAAAGTCTGTGCAACAACCGACCGAAACCAGTGGAGAAATGTAGGGATTCGCGGATTCGCACAACTCGTCCGCTTCACTGCACCAACTTGAGATTGTCACCAGCTTCGCCAGCGTGAGTGACCAGAAAACCAGCTACTAGTAGATACAGCTGCCCACCCCTGCCACATCTCTAGTGCGAGTTCGCTTCCTGAAAACTAGCTCGCAATCTGCAGTTCTGGGGATCGCACATACATAATGTCCCCGGCTGCCTCAATCTTCATTGACTGGAGTTGTCTGTGCATGGCCTCAAAACTTGCTGAAACCTATTGAATTGACCTGCCTGCTCGCAGTACAGGGGGAGCTCGCTCTTTTGAGCCAGAGCCTCCTGCAGGGTATCGACAGGCCTGTCGAGACGGGGAGGAGCTGATTGGCCACGTGTACTGTGGTCCCAGCCTCAACTTTTGCCTTCGCTCCTGGTCCTGTTGCACTGCTTGTATGGCCTGTCAGATCAAGGGGGGGGGCTCTGCCTTGTCAGCATATCGCCTCTCCTCCCGAGCTGCGGGCGTGCTGTCGAGAAAGTGCTGACTTCGGAGGTGGATAGAACCTCGCCGTTGTTCGGTCCGTGCAGTCAGTGCTGTCATGCCCAAAGTGCGAAAGCTCGCCCAGGTTTCTGGCAACCACTGCTTCCTTCCCCGGAAGAGAGAGGCATAGGCGTGCGTGTGGTAGTGCCTGGCGAATGAGGCTTGACGTGCAGAGATTGTTAGGACATGAGGCAGAAGCGCCTTGAACATGCCGGCTACACTGCGGGGCTCCCGAGCCAGCTGGCCCTAATCCAAACTGGATGTTGCCGAGGCGGTAACGGAGCTTTCCGGACTCCTTCCGCACGTGCAAGGGGAAGCTCAACGGAGACAACCCGCATCAGAGCCTGCATCCAAGAAGGATGGGGTGTGGCATCTTTCTGGACAAGTGCCAGCATCTTTTTGAACCTGGATCGCATTACAGAAGGTGTAGCAAGTGCATCTTCTTCAATTTTGAGCTCACGACGCTGGGTCCTCCTGCTCCACGACGGAAAACACGTATAGCCTCAAGCAGATGTCTGCCTCTTACTCTCCATATCTCCTCTGACATGGGGATAATCGAAACTCTCCTGAGAGCCTTGCGGTGTGCCGGACGAGGAGTTGACCTTTCCCATGACGTTATTGACGTACCTACGCAGAAGGTACCCACGCACCCGTGCCAACCACGATGTGAAATCTCATAGAGGCGCGCTCTTTCAACGAGAGACGGCGTGCATCTTTGGCATCAATGTCTCCAAAGTCTTCCGGATAAGGAATCGTCACAGCCTCAAGTATCTTTCTGCCAAATCCAGAACTCCAGAACTCAAGAGTTGTAGAGTCGTTGTTTCGCTTCTGAGCCTGGCACAGACATGATCGTCTCACCGACCTGCCATGGCATCATGACACTTTGTATGCGGCAGGGATGTGCCAGGTTCCTGACCTTTCGGACCAGGTAGCGCAGTGACCAGCGCTCGAAGGCGGGCATGTGCCTAGCACCGCCGCCTCAGAGAAAACAGTCCCAAGCGAAGCTCTCTTTGATGCGCTTTGCTGGCGCCTGTCAGGCTCAGGACTCACTTGCTCGCAAGATGCTCAGCCCGTCACGAACTAAGAGGGGACGTCGAAGTGACAGATAGTTGTCCACGAAGGTTTCGGCGGAGAGCTCCTTCGAAGTCGTTCGCAGAGTGCAAGACTGTGCAGGATCTTAACAGCTGTCCTCCGCTGCCACCACCGCGAGTTCACACGTTTGACTTTCTGGCCGGCCCTGTTTCACACGGAGATA